ATATTACTTTAACTTGACTTTGCCTTCAAAACATCGACCAGTCTGTTTCTAATATTTATGATATATAAGCTGCTAGTGACATGACTTCTGCCCTTGGTGCAGGGAGGTGGCATGTATGTTCTGCTGGGTTCTCTGCTTTGGACAAGGGAGGATAAAGGCTTTGTTTAAAAATAAATACATCACTTTCAGATTTGTCAGTGGTACTGTACATTTTCCTCTCTGCCAGTCTGTGTTTACAGGCATAGGAAAGCAAAAATAAATGTATGAGGAAGAGAGAAGGTCAGAATATCAAGTGTCAAAAGTAGCCCATGAAATTTTATTGGTGGTGCATTTAATCAGTGCTAAGTGTTTTTTACAAGGTACATACAAACAGTGGAATTGTAAAAATTTATGGAATGCTGTGTACAGTGTAGCCATTTATGAAGAAAGGAAAATTTATATCCAGATGAAATAAACCAAAGGGGAATGTTTTATGGACGCACCTCAACAGCAGGATTCATCAAATGAGTTCTGGATGAGGATGGGGTATTTGCAGAGGCTTTTTTGAGGTGTTTTCCTGCTTCTTCAGCAGCTAACAGTTTGCATCTTTCTGTGGCTCTTAAATAAGCAGGATGCTGGATGCAGGGACAGTGTGGTGTTTGTGTTTTTCTGTGCAGTGGAAAGGAAACACAAGTGAACAGCTGCTACTGGTATCTGTGGTACAAGGCTCTCGCTCTTGGGCTTGTTCCAGTACAAGAGTTTCTTGAGCAGCCCTTAATACCCAGCTGGGAAGGGTTAACCAAAGCCAGTCACACTGACATCAGCATTTTTTTGTTTCCTTTTTGGTCCAGTATTTTGTTGATGATAAAGCACAGACTTAGTCAATTGAGAGATTCCAGAGCTGCAGAATCAGAGATAATTTAATTAACGGAATTGCTTGTGATTGCCCACTGGGACAGCGGGTAGGAATTGCTCGATTTAATTTGGAGAAACAAAGATCACATGCATGCTAATGTTTAACAAATAACCAGTGTTTGGGTTAAAGTTTTTTAGCAAAGAAGGAGGTGGCTGTTTCCCAGAAGAGATTTCTCAGGAAGCGATTGCTGCTCAAAACTACAGATAGGTCCTTTTTCCTCTCCTCTAGTATTTCTGTGCACTTCTTCTGGCCTTTTACCTGAACAAAGCAAGGATTTTCTCAGAGAAAAAAAAGTATTCTTATTTTCAGTGCTCGGGGGAAAATGCTATGAATAGTAGAAAAATATGCACTAGTCACAAAGACTGAAAATTATCACATGCTGTCTGCCCAGTCTCACAGACTTGCTTCTTGATACCCAGCATCCTTAGCTGTGACTGCCAAGGTGTGGAAAACTTAACCACGAAGTCCAGGGAGAAGTCCAGGACCCATCTTCTTCCACAAGGAGCCCTCCCTTCCTGATTTTGTCCTTGTATAAACATTCTCACTCAGGCTGCCGCGTGTGTGGTGGTGTCACAGCAAGTCTCTACTCCAGGATGGAGGTGCCCTCTTGGTACATCCTCAGCCAGGGAGGACAGTTCAGGTGAGGCCTCTCACACCTGCTGGAGAAGCATGAGCACTGGAGCTCAAAGTATAGCTCTTGGCAGCAGTTGTGCTCAGCAGGTCTCTCTGGAGGCTGATAAATGACGTTATCCAAACACGTCGAATCAGAGTGCTGAGGCGCAAAATTGCTAAGAGTCCTCCTGCATCCAGCATGAGGTCAAGGCAAAGCAGAGAGCCAAATCCTTCTCCGTAATTCCCTCTGCCTCAGTTGGCAGGGTAGCTTGTACACAGCCTTCCCCTGTCCCTGGCACTTGGCTTTCTGATCCTCACTCCACCCTGGCGTTACCCTGTAAAAATTCTGCCCAAGGCTGCTCCCAGCTGCGTCCAGGCAAGCGCACAAAAGGTGCACACACAAGAGGGAATCCTGAGGGAGTTCCTAAGATTGCTGCTGCAGGAAGAGTTGCTCCTAAGCGATGCTTATCTTTAGGATACAAGCAGCAGGTTGACGGTAAAATGACACTAAATGGAATGTCATGTGTCCCAAGTGCACTGGCCACCACGGGAGCCAGACACATGGGAAGTGACTCTCGTCTTTATTCCATCCCTGGAGGTAGTTTCAGTTTCCTTTATTTACTAATGTTCTGCCTATTTCCCTTGACCTCATTTCCTCCAGCTTTTCCAAAGCAACCGTGCAATTATCGCTCACTTTGGGTTGACCCTTGGCTGCCACATCCCTTGTTGCTGCTGCTCCGAGAGGTTTTCCTGAAATCTCAAGTGCAAAATATTCAGTTACGGCCAAAACTCCTCTCATGTGAAGTAGGAGCTGTGTCTTCAGCACTGTGCTGTGCATCAGGATTTGTCCTGTGAGTTTGCTTAGCAGGGAGAACATAGAGTTTAAATTCTGTCGTAGCTGAGCTTTGATCAGTGCTGGGAGATAGCACAGTGGCTAAAGATCCCTCTCTTACCAATGCACCCCAGTCTTGTTAATAAATGTATATTTAACAATGTCTGGAGCGTATGAAGTGATAATAACTAAATCAATACCTCCCACATTGATTGTCCAGGATCCCTACAGCGTGACGCACGCAGCGGTGCGGTAATTTTCCAGCTAACTAGCACCCTGATCTACAGCCCTCCTATTGATTGCCCATTGTATCAGGCAGCCTCTGAGCATTATTGCTTATACCTCTATTCAGCCTCTTTTTCTGATTCATTCGTTTATTACTAGACAGGTGCGATTATCTCAGAGACTTTCCGAAATTGGCCAATGGGGGTCAGCTGTTTAAATTTCTATAAACAAACCATTTTCTATCTTCTCTAGTTGTTGCAGTGGCACATTTTTCCTTTTCAGGTTTTGACTGTTACTGGGCTGGGACTGGGGATGAACAGGCATTTGTCAGTATCTGCTTAAGGAATCAGCTTTTTCCTTTCTGAGTTGCCCATCCATCTGAGGAGGACAGGTAGCTCCACAGATGGTAAAAGTAGAATTTAGCAAGAGTTGAGGTTCTGCTTGCCACCTGCTGTGGGCAGGAATCACACTCGCTGTCTTTGCAGTTCCAGTGCCCTTGTGCATGCAGAAAGGAGAAATTGATTCCATGAAGTCAAATTCAACTGTGTTCTTCAGCCAGTATCAGTTCAATTGTGGGCCAGACTGGAAGAGAAACAGTTTTCTCAGCCAACAATAATCTTCAAGCTATAAATAAATAAATCAGTTTCTTCCTTGGACAAAACTAACACCTTTCTAGACTTTCTTTGAAAATGCTAGCAACTCTTCCTTGAGGGTGAGAACTCAAGCTGGGATATAGCAATAATTTATACCAACAAGCAGGAGCAAGTGGGTGTTTTCACAGCAGGGAGAATTGTCTCCTACTGAAACTCTTTCATCTTGCTCCAAAGCATATTTATGGATTCCAGGACTTGAATCCACAGTGTCCCTGTCCCCAGACAGTCCTCACCCACTAGGCTATCATGGGACATTTGTATTTCTTTACCTTTTTTGCAGTTTTACAATTGTTACCGTTTTCAGGCAGCTGTCACTTGCAATGAAACTCCTTCTGATGAAGATCTCAGCTCATACAGAGCGTGTCTCAGTACAAAGGCGGGAATAAAGTTGAAGGAGCTTTATAACACTGGTAGTTAACTATATACATTCCAACAGCTTCACTTTCCTCTGAAGTGTCATAATTAGGAAAATCATCCAGGATCTCTTTGACTAGTTCTGTTACCAAAGCCTTGGGAAAAGCCATCAGAATCAGCTTGTGGGAGATTCCCCCCAGCTCCCTCCCTGCGTGCTAGTGACAAGTGACTAATGAACAAAGGAGTGAGTGCCTGCCTGCAGTGAGAGTGCTGAGATTGCAGCTCACTTTACTGGTTGTAGTAATTCCACTAGACCTGTGCTTTAGCCACCTGTTGATGAATCATCCTCTAAAAAGGTAGAAGACATAGGTGCCACCATGGGTTACCTTGTGATTGATGATGCAGCTTCTGATGTCAAGATGCTCTTCAGATTCTTCTGAGCTGGAGTTTGCTTGGAGATGCCAGAAATTCACTGACATGTGTGAAAATTGTTGGTTTTCTTTTTATTTAAAAAAGTAAGAGCCTTTATGTCAATGCTGTAAATCTTTTCTGGGGAATACTTGAGGGCCCCTCCCTATGTCTGCCTATGTAGAACTCAGATTTTGCAGCATACTGGAGTGATGCTTCCTGGTCTGTAATGCTCCCTACATTTCATTTGCTAAGCATTGCTGTCTGCCCTTGCTTTTAGGTTGGCAAGTTGCTCTTTTCACCAGCCTTGCAGAACCATGAAAATACACTTGCCTGGCCTCAGCACAGTGCCTCTGTGACAAAAGAGATAATGCTGCCCATCAAAAATGACCCTAGGAAATGGGAAAGCTGAGATTGTAAAGCTGCCTTTATAGCCACCCTGTTGGCACCGTATCCAGTGCTTTTGGTTTCTCTGTTCTTTCAGTATTAGGATCAAAAAGCTGGGGCTTTCATTAATATAAGCCATTGTGTTGATCCTGTGTAATGAGCTGATTTTGCATTTCACGAGGCTGATGGCCAGCAAAGGCCTCCATTCTCTAAGGGGAAGAACAGCTCCTATTGCCCACAAAAAGTTATCTAAGCAGCTTTAAAGCAACATACAGAACTTCGTCTCAAGCATGTGGTCCTAAGTAATCTCTTAAGAAAGACAAGAAAAAAGGCAGAAAACAAACAAAAATCCCCAACAAAATTATCTGTTCTTTGAATGTCTGTGTCTTGCTCTTCATGAAGCTTGCAACCTCAGCAGTGGTTGTGTTCTTTTGTGATGTGTTTGGAAGTGTTTAGAAAGACACTTCAAAGAATTCACACTAGGCTTTTCGGGAATTCATTTTTAACCCAAGTTGGATGTATTAGTTTGAAATACGATGCCGTTTCCTGTGCAGTACCTGTTGTGAGATCCTTTTTCCCCCAAACTCTTAACAGTCTCAGAACAGTGATCTTCACTCTTCATCATCTTTTGCAGAATTACAGAAGACTCTGCAGTGACAACATTTGAAGCGTTAAAGGCTCGTGTCCGTGAGTTAGAAAGGCAGCTTTCCCGTGGGGACCGCTATAAATGTCTCATTTGCATGGTGAGTAGCACTCCACTCCTGGTAATGAATCAGAAATGTCTTGGTATCTTTGCCGAGGAGGGGAGAAGCTTTTCTCCTTTTTCAGGCAGACTGAGGGAACTCATCACCAATTAGCCTTCCAAATTAAGGTCTTAAGAACTCAAATTTCTGTACGAATTACATTGTACACTGGTATTTATAGCTGTCTCTCTGTATCAGGGGCAAGAAAGGCCCAACTCCAGATGTCTTTCTGCCTTCCTGTAGAAAACTCCCAGATATACCAGCATACTTTTCCTGCATGTGCAAATTTAGGTACATAGGAGAGAGCAGAATCTGTCATCAGAGGCTCACTTTCTCTGATTTGGGAGCAGGGATGTTGCCTGAGCATTTAAAAGTTGCCAGCGTCCTTGCTCTCTGGTAATGCTGTGGCCTTCCTCAGGAAGGGCAGCAGCTCCCTCTGATGGTCCAAGCCTGCAGGGCTCTACATCTCCTTTTGGGTTTGTGTTCTGCTGAGGGCAGAACATTGTGTTTGGTGGAGAGCTCCCTCTGCAACTTCAGCTTGATGCACAGGCTTCTCTCTCCCAGCCAGCTCACAACTTGGAGGTGTGGGAGTGCAGTCCTTGTCACTCATCCCACAGAAGGGACAACAGCTTGGCTGCTGATTTCCAGAGGTTTGTTAGCAAAGATAGAAGATACTTGAGAAGGAATGTCTGCTGAAATAGCAGCAGCATTCCTGGAATGTAGTTTAGCTGTTCCTGCAGAGCTGAGTTCTGATACGGGTTGATCTTACCCTTTCACTGATTTTCATATGATCTGGTGACCTTTCTGATGAGAATAATGGCAGGTGGCCAGAGCAACTTCAAATGCTTTTGCAATAGCTCTGCTGAGCCAGGTCATCACTTGAGTGGATTATGGGCTTCCAACAGGACTTCTGGGAAGCCAAGAAAAGGGATTGAGGGAGACTTTCTGACACTTCTATACAAACATTACAAAAATACATCTTACATATTACACAAGTTGGTTCTTTTAACCAACTCTTTTAACAAAATACAAGACAGCATTATCCACAAAGAAAGGCACTGTGATGGGTTTGGGAGTGAAGAATCACTAGATCACGTCTATGAAAATAATCTGTTTGCTTCTTTTCCTCAGGACTCCTACACAATGCCCCTGACTTCTATTCAGTGCTGGCATGTGCACTGTGAAGAATGCTGGCTGCGGACTCTGGTGAGGCTCTTGACTGCTTTCTTGTTGACTTACAGCCTTTTTCCTCTCTTCTCAGATACTTTATTCTAGATTTGCACAAGGAAGGGTGCTTTTTGTTTTATTTTAAACAATCTGAGTGCTGTGCTTGCAGATTTCCCAAGCCTGGCTGTTTAACACCCCACTCTAGCTTTGACATGAGAGAGTTTTGAGTCAATATGACCCAAGTTCTGTCCTGCCTCTTGCTTTTTCCTCCACTCCTGTGGGAAGAGCTCTGTGCCAGGGACTACCTTGCCTTTCAGTAATTTCCTGTGGAGCATCCATGCAGAGAGGTAAGCCTGTGAGAATGGAGGCCAAATCCACTGAGATTTCTTGGAATGGGTAGCTTCTGAGAAACATAATATTCCCCAGAAGCAAAGGGAATCATCTTCAGGAGAGAGAATATGGAAGGGAGCTTTTATAATGTGAATCTATATTTTTTAAGTTATTTGGAATAGCACTATGTAGTTTTCAAGCATATGTCATTCTGTTTAAAAGATTGGGAGCTATCTTGAATATTGAATAGGTGACCCAGTAGAGTAATAATTCATACATTTATTAAAGGACATCAGGTTAAAATTTAAGGTGTTATTAAATAAAGTGTTTTCTTTTCCTGTGTTAAAACTGTGGGCTTTATAATCAGCCTCTAACGTCTCCTCTACAGTTGATTTTCAGGCTTTCATTTTGTTCCGGCTGGGGAGTGGAAAATAGTCAATTGTGCTTTCTAGTTCTCCCATTAGCAAGATGATACAGTGTTGGGATGTAAGGGAATGCCACTCCTAAAAACTTGTTCCTGGAAGGCATTACTCTACTTTATAAAACACGTTGTGTGCTTGGAATTACGATTAAGCTGATCATGCTTTAAATCCTGCCTTTTAAAAATCTCGTCCAAGAAAAGTTACCAGGATGGTGAAGTGCCTGTGGGCTTGAGTACTAATAGCTTCTCAATAACTTGGCTATCCCTTGGGCTGTATTTTATAGCTCTTCAGCTACACCCGTCACTATTTACATTATACAAGCTTTTGTAAACATTTTAGCAGCATTTATAAAAGACAGGTGTCTGGATAAATATGTGCTCTGCCACCTTTGCTAAGTGAAGTGTAATCTTGTCTTTCAGCGGTGCTACAAGCACAGGATAAAACACTAATTTCCTTTTCATATTCTTTACTCTGAAGTCTTTGTCCTCTCCCTTTCCCCTAGCCTCAAGTCATCTTCTAAATCTGTGGCACCAATTTCAAGCTGTTCTTAGGCTCAGCAGCAACTTAGTTCAACTTCAGTCAGGTCCCTTTTTGGCATGTTCAGTAGTCACAGCCACTCATGAGATCAGGTAAAGTCACTCCAAGGTGCCCAGGAATTTACATTTCCCTTGCAGTGGGGAAGCCATCTCCCCCTAGAATTCCGTGAGAAAGGTGGTGATGAGGCTGGCTCTGTGTGCTCTGTACACGGCTCTTCTGCTGACCAGGCAGGCAGGATGGGAATAGTCCAGCAAGACATCGTGTTGGAACTTGGCACTTGCATAGGGGAAGCAATTAATAAGTGACTATTCATGTGTTCCCCAGCCCTAGCCTCTCCCTGCAGCCCCCAATTTATTAAACCAGGCCTTTTCACAAGGCATGCTTGCACTCCCTCTCCCATCTCAAAAAAATCTCCCAGCCTGTGTTCGCATGTTTCTAATGTAACCATTAAAATGTAGCCTGAAGACAGCAATAAAAACCCTGGAACGCCTTGGTGCTTTTGTGTCTTGATCAAAGTCAATGTGTGTAATCTCGTTAAGACTGCCCTCCTTCCCCCCTCCTTTTTTATGAATTTAATGGCATACAGCAGCTGGGCTCAGTGTTTAATGCTTACCAACCTGCATTGTTCTAATTAAGGTATCTCCTTTTATTTCTGGCACAAAAGAGACTCTTGTTTTTTTTAACAAGCGAGGAGCTGTGGGATAGTGTGTGTAATAATCGCTGCTGTTACCTTTCCTGGGTATAAAGCTGGCTCCCCAGTGGGGTTGGGAGGAGGGAGCCTGTGCATGCAGCACACATGGAAAGACTCGGCTGGGGGAGAGGGGCAACATTTTTCTTCTGTTGTGCAATAAACAATTTGTTGGAGTTAATAGGAGTTGGAGCAGGCGGGTTGTGTCAGGCTTCCGGCCCCTTTTGAACAATCTGGAGATCTGCCATCCATGCTGGTGAAAAGTCCCCTTTCTCCTATGTGCCTTGGTTCACATGCCCAGCTAAGATCTAATATTAACTTAGAGTGTGAGTGTATCTGAGAGAGCAAGGATCGTGTACTGAACAAGGCCCTGGAACTGAAGGCTCAGAGTGCCTGGTAGCCCTTCTAAACCTCTGCAGAGTGTTGAAGACAGGGTGAAATTTGATGCTCACATGTGTCTGTGTACCTAAGGTTTAAATATTTTTTAGGATACAATAGTACAATGATCTGAGCATCTGACTTGATAGTGTTTAGGGCACTGGTGAGGATTGGATCTTAAAATGCTTAGACTTTATGAAAATGAAATTTTTGGACTTTTGGCTTTTGATGTTCAATTCCAAATTATAATTGTTCTGTTGGTAAGGGCAAGGAAGTGACTTTAATCACTAACTCTACAAATGATTGCTGGACTCTCTAGCATAGGTGTAATTGTATTGGAGCTCAGCACGTCAACAGGCTGCAAGTTCTGGGGTTGAAACATTGACCAGAGGAGACTCCATCTCTGAAGCAAAGGCTGGGTTTGCAGAAAGGGACCCTGGAGATTCCTTAGGAGAACCAAGATCATGGAGTGATTTACCTGTGATCCCTTTTGGAAACCCTGAAAGGTTTCCTGAAAAGTGTGCAGGTTCTTCAAAAATAGGAGAGGAAATGGTATTGCAGGAGCAAGACTTAGCCTGGGCAGCAGCAGGTGGAGTTCCTTTCCCTGAACGTTGACAGTCCTTAACGGTGGGTGTCCATCCTCAGCTTATTGTTGGACTGCAGCCTGAGTCAAGGGGTGGTAAGGGATGAATCTCCCTCTGTAAGAGTCTGCCCCATCTCCATCCTTCCCCATTAACTGAGAGGGACCCTACAGCTAATGGTGGGTGAGATTCATATTTTCATTCTCCTGAGGAGAGTTCTCTAACAGAAGAGATTGGCCATCTGCTGTACTGATTTGCTGGGGAGGTTTAGAGCCTCCATCCTTGGAGGTTTGTGAGAACAGGTGATCTTGCCCAGGGAATGGGTTGGTGAGTTCTTGACGTCTCTGTGAGCTGTAGTTATGTGATTTCCCAATCTCTGTTATCCTTCTTTACTAAATAAATGGAGCTGGAAGCTAAGTCAGGCTCTTGTTTGTCAGTGATGGAGCTATTGGTGGGTGCAAGGGCTGGAAGAGAACAGGTTTATTTCAGCAAATGCAGTTTCTCCCATCACCTGTACAAGCCAGATCCAGCATTTCCCACATGTATTTGCTGACTTCAGGCTTGTGCCTGCCTGTCTTGGGCTTATTTGAACATGACAACTACAAGAGCAGGAAAAAAATCACTTCTAAAAAGCCTTTTTCATCACAGAATGCTTCCAGGGGATCCATAGATATATATGTGTGCTCTGCAGTTGACACATTTATATCTTTGGTAATTAGTACGTTCTTAGCTTTGTCACTCTTTCTAGGCTCTAGTACCATTTGTGCCATGTGGGCTGGAGTGTTTTTTTACAAAACAGCAGAGATAGAAAGCAGACCTTCTGGGTGGTTCCTCAGTGCTTCAGCAACATATAGGGACCTCCTGAGTCAGCAGCTGCATGGATGCTGTGCTTGAGTCTTCATAATGTTCTCATCTGCCATGAGGTCCTCTGGTTATTAATTAGCATTCTTCAGTCCTGGCCTCTAGCAGCCTGTGGGGATGAGCTCCACCCTTTTAAGGAGGCTTTGTGATAAAAGTTGTTCTCCTGGTGGTTTAACCCCATTACCTGGCAGCTGGAGGGAGCCCCATAATGGCAGTGGAGGACAGCTGTTTCTCTGGGAATTAGTATCTGCAGAGAGGAAGCTCCACATTTTGTGTGGAGGCATGGAGAGGAGGCTGATGTTTTGGTTGAGAATTGGATCTTGGTATTCAGTTCCTTTCCTGGCAAGAAGCTGGCTCTTGGTTTGGGTCCTTCCTGTCATCTCTCTGTTTCGAATTTACTTTCTTTGCCTGCTCTGTTTGTGTGTCTCTTTATTCTGTGTGCCTGGTAACATATTCTGCTTGGAAATTGCCCATTTTTAGACCCACAGGACAGCAGGAAGTGCCTAAATCGAGTTTCCTTGCTTTAGCCAATTTATAGCAGACATCATACCATTTTTTTTAAGAGGCAACTTTAAGACAAACTACTCCAATCCTTCCTGGCACCATGTAAGCCCTAACGACTTTTCAACATCTCAGCTCTCGTTAATGCATTTTTCAAACTACCACCCCAAGTGATTAGCCTGTATTGTGGATCAATCACTTGCCAAATTTTAATTAAGAAAGGAGGAGAAAAAAATAAACTCCATCCTGGTTCCAGCCCCATTTCTTTGCTTTGTAACAGCCCTGGAGCAAACTTCTTGCAGCAGAGTTTTATAAACCCCTCAAAACTGGGGTTTATAATGGAAAAGCTGAGGTGGCCTTTACTCCAGCACACACAGCTATAACACATCAAGGCTTTTCCATGTAGCTATGATGAAAGGAGCAGAAGGACCTGGAAAAAAAGAAAAAGAAATGGCCGACAGGTGGGACTTATTATTCCACAGCATTTTTATTTCAAGGGAAAAGTTTAGTAACCCCAGCTGGCAGGTGAGCAGTGGGGGAGCAAACGCTTTTTCATTGTGCCTGTGCCAGCATGTGTGTGTGTACAAGCTTATGTGCCTCTCTACAAGAGAGGAAAGCTTAATCACTGGTGCAGATAAATGTTGTATACCTACACCGAAAAGTCAGATGTAAGGAACAAGGTTCTGAGCAATTTCAATCTAAAAAGTAACAAATCAAGACTTAGTTCTGAATTTTCCACACGTGCTCTTTTGTGCAGAGGAGGGCAGTTTCATATAATATAAAAGAAAAATGCATCCCCTAGTGTCCAGAGTATTAGAGGGACCCAGAGCCCTGGGCCCAGCATGCCACGTGCAGCCTGCACCACATTCAGGCCAGGTTGCTGAAGGTTTCGGCTGCTGTTGTTCCCTTCAGTGTACCCAGGCTTCAGAGCTCAAGGATGAGCTGTGCTTCCCACGTGCAGGTGAAACAGTATCCACCACTGCCCTTAATCAATCCGTGATCATGTGGCTTTTGCAGAAAATAGGTCAAGCTCCATGTGGCTGGGTTCTGCTTTATGCCAGGGTTGAAAACTTGTCCCTGGCTATGCATGTGCAGCTCTCAGGCTGAGGGGAGAGAGTGAAACCCCCCTAAAGCCATCAGCATATAGTGCAGAAAACAGATCTCTGGGACAGAGATCCCAAGGTCTGGCACAATAAATCCAGCAATCTTCCCTTTCCCTATAGTGTGAGGGAACTGCATACCTGGCCTTGCTTTGCTATGGAAGAGAACAGCAAGGATGCACTTGGTTTCATTGGGCTTGTTCTGCCATCCCTGTGGGCTGAGTGCAGAGGGCTAGTGCTTATAGTGAGCACCTGCAGCCTTCGGTTCAATGCCTTGCTGCCTCTTGCCAGTAAGCCTGTCTTAGGAAGGAGAACATGGACACAGATGTGGGCACTAGTCACATCTGGAATACTTAAAGTACCCATGCACACTTCTGCTTCTCAGGGCACACAGGAAAGCTTGAAAAGGCAGCTGCCAGCTGTTGTCCTTCGATAACATGCTGTGAATTAATTCCTCAGCACCTCTCTGCCACTTCCTGTGGGACCCCCTCCAGCTACAAAGATGATGCCAAGAGGGCAACTAGATGCAGCAGGTGCCTCCAAGGAAGAGGGAACTGCATGAAACTGAGCAGAGACTCAATTGAAACAGGATATTTTGTGGCATTTGCATCCAGATTAGTGAGTCCCTTGGGAGTGCTATGTCACCACAGTGGCAGAAGGGGCAGATGTTCAGATTTTTCTCTCATGTTTTCACCACTGAAGCAAGTTTTTACGGGGACATGAAGAGTAGAGCTTACAGTTTCTAATTCTGGAGATCCAAAGCTGAGGCATTGAGCATAAGCAAAAAGGCATGTTGAATAAACAGGCTCTGCCAAAGTCCAGTGCACTCAAGTGTTCATTTCATCAGCATTTTAAGCCTTTCCTTTGAGTTACAGTTTGCACTTGCTCCTCTCAGAATCCAGCATGCCAAGTCCACTCAGTGAAGACCACTGCATAGAGCTGCATGATGTATTGCACAGGCACAGTGGGATGGTCCCTGCCCTGGAAGGCTGAAAATCTAAAAGGACACAGTAGTTGTCCCAGATAACTGGAAGGATATGCCCACAGGCATCAGCACCAGCATTAGGTGTGCCATCCAGACCACCAGTGGTCTGTCCTTCAGAATGCCAGCCTGTCACTCACCCCTAGAGCAATGCCCAGGGTGTTTTGGGTGTCTTTTACACTTCATTCAACTCTAGCTCAACAGAACTTTGTGTGTGACTCGTTTAGATCAGGTGTAGGTGCCTGTGGTCCCCACATGTGTTTCGTCAACAGCTGAGCTACTGGCAGTGAGGGCTGTCAAATAGGACCTGATTGTTCAGAAGTGCAAAGCTCAGGAATGGCAGGTGTGCCAAGTCCATGACTGCAAGGAATAATGTGCAGTGGGAGCAGGGAGGGCCATCCCAATTTCCCACATTGCTGGTGCTGTAGTTGGGAGGCTGCCTTACAGCAGAGCTATCTTTCTGCCATTTTTCCCATCAATTGTCTGTCACATCTGCCAATCTAATGATGACCAGCTTAGGTTGACCCCGATTCTGAGGCTTATTAACACCCTCTTGCTGTCAGGCTTGGTGATAGATGGCACATCAGCCATTGTTTTATTTCGCATAGTGTTCCTGTCGGCCACCCATTACCCCACCCCAGCTCATATCAGTTTGCTGTTTCCAGTTCACCTTGGCAGAACAGATTCATCTCTGCAGTATCTGTGTGAGCTGGGGAGGATAGGATGGAGGGTTACTTCAGGCCAGCAGCTCTTAGGCTTTTGCAGAATGGACAAGGCAGTGCCCCACTCTGCTGCTCTCAAAGGGCTGGTCCAAGGCCCCCATGAACCAGCTCAGTCATCCCTGCTGAAAACTTCACTTGTTCCAGCTGGGTTGATTTTCTCTCTGTTCAGTGACCTGAATTGGCTCGTCAAGGGCTGCAGGTGAGCAAGGGAAACAAAAAGCAGCAGATCTCCCTGGCAAACAGTAGTGACAGTGGTGCTGAGTTGAGTGATGCACTTTGGCTCTGGGTTTCATCCCTCTGCAGAGCTCCTGCTTGTCCAGCTGCTTCATGCTAGGGATTGGAGCAGGACCAAGGGGCTTGCAGGACAGGTAAGGAAGGCATTGGGACGCCCCCTTCACACATCTTGTGCTCACTGTTAGAGGCCATGGTCCTGCCTGGAGGGCCTTACTGCTCTTGCAGTCCCAGGCCGAGGGCAGGGATGTCCTTCATGCTCTCACACTGTGCATCTCATCTGCTGGTTGCAGGGTGCCAAGAAGCTCTGTCCTCAGTGTAACACCATCACGTCTCCTGGAGACCTTCGGCGCATCTACTTATGAAGGACCCAGCAGGAGGGCGGGACCCAGCTACTTGGCTCAGCTCATCACACCCAGGGGGAGAAGAATGATCACAACAACAAAAAACCCCACGTTTTAAAATTTAAAGAAAAAACAAACCAGAGACTCCAGACATGGACTCAAGGATAAGGAGCAGTGGGGAGCCTCGGCTGCCAGGTCCCACAGTTTGAGACCTCCTTCAGCATCTGCAGCAGGCAAAACCGAATCCTTTGTTGTGAAGCCCCCTTTTTTAAAACCAGTGTTCCCCATCACCCGTTCCCTGGAGCTGGCTTTGCATTGCGGATGGCTCGTGAGCCCTCCTTTGGACTGTGTTGTTGACCACTGCCCCCAGGAGACTGGGGAAGGGACCCTTGACAGAAAGATGTTCAATAACCTGTAACTTGTGTTCCTTGATCAGTTTTTGTTTTGTTTTTATTTGTTTTGGTTTGATTTTTTTTGTTTGGTTCTGTTTTGGTTTTTTGTGGTGTTCTAGTGATGACTAAAAGGTTTAAAAAAAAAAAAAACACACCCAGGCAGAAATGAAGCACATGTAATATAGATTATATATGTTTACAATGTTGTGTATAAATGGGATAGACTCAAACATTACATACTAATAAGTTTCCCTTTCTTTTCTTTGGGTTGTATTTTTTTTAAAGAAGAAAAATGAGCAGAGAACATTAAACCCATATTTTTCTTGGTTCAGCAAAGTTTTGGCATTAAAGTCATTAGTTTAAAAAAAGTATATATATACATATATATAATATAAATGGTTTAATGTTCTGTGGTGTATATTTCCTCATTCAGATATGAAGTTAACAGCTTTTAGTAATGGCTGTAGCATTGCCCATAACTTACAGAACTTATGGGGAGTAGAGGAGGTGGATTTTTGTCATTAGTTGTAGCTAATGGGGCTATTTATAATAGAATCGTTATCCCCAGAAAGACACAGCTTTTAACTCCTCACCGGGGGGCCAGGCAGGACAGGGGGAATCTGGCTCAGCCCCCTTTATCTTTGCCAGCCGGGGAACGGGCAAATGGTAAGGAGCTGGAGGGAGGGAGTCTGTCAGAGCTGCCCTCTCCCCTGGCTGGGAGTGCCTGCTCGAGGGTCTGGCTGATACCTGTGCTCCTCCAGGCCACAGCCCCTTCCCTGCCCTGCCTGGCTTTGCCTTCCTCCTCTGGGCAGCGTTTTTTGGCTGAGGATGCCTAGGCAGCTCAGGATGATGCTGGGGCAGGAGACGAGATGGTCCCACTGGTGGCTTTGCCCAGAGAGACTCAGCCAGTTCCCTTGTGGGGCTGCCTGGCAAAGCCATGCAAGCCCTGCAGAACCAGCCTTATCCTGCTCTCACTTCCCCCAGCTCCCACTCTCCTGCAGCCTGTGTTTTTCCTAAGTGGTTTTGGCACTAGGGCAGAGAGCCAAGCCAGCCCTGTCTCATCCCCACTGCCACTCCCAGGATCCAGCAGGCCCCCAGGTTCCCCCACAGCCCCAGCTTCTTCCATGCAGTCCTTCATGCTTGTCTCTGTCTCCCATATCCTCAGCTTTAACCAAAGCTGCCATCTGGCCTGGTTTTTTTGTTGTTCTTTCTTTTATTGTCAGGATCCAAGAAACAGATACTGACCCATTTCCCAAGACCTTGGGACTACTCCCAGCCCCACACTGTGCATCCCTGCTGCGGCTCCTTGGGCGGTTGTGAGGTGCCAGCTCCTCATAGCCAGAAGACAGGGAGATGGGAAAGCTCATCTGCCCCACTCCTTTCCAAGCAGATCCCACCTGGCAGCACAACATAGCTGGGGAATTTTAAGACAGTCTAGGAACAGCAGTGGATGAGGGGTTTGGGGTTTGGCTTCTGGGCTGTTTCCGGAGAGGGAAGGGCTGGATAAGCAGGATATGTAGGGGGTACAACAGTCCCAGTGCCGCTTCCCTACCCTGAGCTCTTCTGCAGAGAACAGCTGCAGTTTTGGCATCTCTTGACTGATTTCAGAAGGATCCCACTGCACCCAAAAAAAACCCAAGTGAAATTGACGGAGCTCTTGTTTCATAAACATCTCATCAAAAGGTGACAGTTCCTAATTGGGAGTTTCTCTTGTGTACAAGCTCATAGCTGTGTGTGGCCTCTGAGACCAGAGAGCTGCTCTGTGCCAGCAGAGCTCCCGAGGACCAGAGGAAGCCAAGGCACCCTGAGGGTCCTGCCTTCACAGGGAGACTGTGGGCAGGGGCTGTCACTGCAGGGTAACCCTGCAGCCAGCAGCACAAGGCAGGGGAAGGGCAGGTATGCACAGCTCAGGCAGGATTTGTAAAGGGAGAAAAACTTGAAGGGCACATGGCTCAGCTGGGAGTGTGCTGGTGCTGAGGTCTCAGAGATGGAGAGGGTGCAGCCAGATGGTTTTGAGAGGCATCCAGGAAGGGCAAGAGGGTAGCACACCCCTACCCAGCACTTCCTTGGAAATAGCCTGGCTCCCTCCCAGGGCTTTTCTGGCAGGTGTTGTGGACCAGCCATGTGCTTTATGTGTAAAACCATATGTAACTAGTCATTGGTTCTTCGCTTTGGGGTTTATTTTTGGTTTATTCTTTTTGTTTAAATTGTAAAGCCATCCCCTGTTTCCAAGGGGGAAGCTGCAGGGGGAAGGCTGGGGAGAGAGGCATCCCAGTTTATAACAGGCATCTGCCACTTCCCCTCTTCTGAGTTTAAACGATTTAAAAAATTAAAAAAAAAAAAAAAGTGAGATATCAAGAGTTACACCTATCTTTGCCCAAAGAATCCCAGTTGCACAAAGCGATATTCCGGTGTGTCAATGATTGTGTGTCAGTGTATACTATACAAAGAGGTACTTGTCACTCCCGTTTGTAAACTACATTTGACATTAATTAAACAAGTATAAATCTTCTCGGGTGCTTTCTGCTTCTCTGTGTTTCCCTTTGCAGGCGAGAGGCAGCAGAGACACCCCCCACACGCTGCAGCCCCTGGATGTGAGTAATGTCCCAGAGGGGAGTCCTGGTTCTATTTGGGATGCAGTAACAGATGCAGGGGGATGCTGGGACATGCACCAGACCCCACCATGGATGGGTTCCCCCAACTGGTTCCCCCTGTAGAGCCAGGAGGGCAGGGCAAAGGGCACCCCTCAGGGGACACCCCCATAATGAAGTCTCATCGGCTGCGGTAGTTGGGGGCAGGAGACGCCCAGCCCCAACAGATCTATACGTGCTGCATTAGGGGCCTCTGGTGCAGTCTAGGGTTACCCTGACACAGGGACCGGGAGACTGCTGGGGCGGGAGGACAGAGGTCAGGTTCCCCTCGGCACGCGGCTGGCGCCGACGCTTTTGGTTTACAAACATTTTGCAGATGGGTCAATGGGCTGTTTTCAAACCCCTCTCCATGACTGTGTCCCCCAGGGATGGGGTGCTGGGAGTCCCCAGGCTGGTGGGAGGAGGCAGGAAAGATGTCAGAGACCTCTTTCCATCTGCTGTGGCAAGCATAGGGAAAGGGTGGGATTTAGGCACTTTTCTGGCTGGCAAGGAGCAGTGAAGCATCTCAGCCAGTCTCCCACCCACTTCAGCCCAGAGGAGGCCTGAGGCCAGGGTGAGGGGCAGAAACCCTCCCTCCCTCTCCACCTACCCCACAGCAGGCTGCTAATATTTTATTTAAAATATCTTTAGGAAGCGGAGGACCATGATGTATCGCATATATTGAGAAAATGCTAATGTGTAATAGCGTGTGTCAGGGGCCTCGTTCATCACCCCCAGCCGCCTTCTGGGGGATCCATATCTAATTAACAGTAATGAATGAGGGAGCCCACCTAATGACAGCCCGCCAGTTTGTTATGGAAATGAGGCAATCCCATTAGGCAAAACACTTAATTAAACAAACTGCTCGGAGTGTAGGCCAGTGCAGGATGGGCACACGCCCTTTAGGGACAAGGGGGGCCCTGGTACCCAGCCTTCCACATGCCAGGTTGGGGGCATAGAAGCTGCTGCAGCCTCTAGAGCTGAGTGCCCAGTCAACTCCAGTAGCAGGGAGCTGGGGAAGCTGAGAGAGGTACCCTTGGGGGGGGGTCCCATCTAGGGAGGGGGCAGCAGGGCAGTTCACATCCCCCTCTGTCTCTCTCCTTCGATGGGCTCAGAGGCAGCAGAGGCCAAACACAGATTTCCAATCAAATGTGTGTACTTGGCTCCTGCTCTATTGACACTGAAGCAAGAAGGGCTCAAGGTTAATTCCTTATCAATACCCTATTGTCAGCTCATCCATCACTCCACGGGGGCAGGGGCTGCCCAAGCTCTCCCTGCCCCAGCCCCCATAGATTTGAGAGGGTGACTGAAGGATGCTATGTTCACCTCTGCCCATCCCAGCTGTGCCCACATAGCCTGTCTCTGATGGTGCTGGGGTGCACTTGCAGCCATGTGAGGATGCAGAAATGAGAGGATGGCGGGGTCAAGTTCAAAGGGAAGGAGATGGAGGGATGCCCGTGCTCCAGACTGGATGAAGGAGCTGTGTGGGTGTGCTGGACAAGGGGGCATTAGGAGACGGATCAGGTGGTGGCTGTGGGGACCCATTTGTGCTGTCCTGTTTGTTATTGCAGCCTAAGCCCCCAGCCCTGTGTGCTGGGGGCTCCTGCCAGCCTTTTCAGAAGAGCAGCACTAAGCTCAGCTCCTTTCCCAGGGCTTGGAGACTACCGGGAACCCAAGAGAGCTCCGGAGTTCTGATACGTGGAGCTCTCAGAGGTTGGGCTATGATCACATTACACAGATTCACTTAAAAAACAGAAAGCCTTCCCTGGGTGCTGGAGAGGGAGGTGCTGTGATCCGGTCTGCTGAGGTGAGAAGGGCAGGAAAGCTATTCCTGCTGTTAGGGTTTTGGTTTTAACAGTCAGTTGAAGCTGAGGAATGGAATCTAGTACAAATTCCAGAGGCAGGCAGCCCTAGGGAGAGATGCTATTCCGTATTAGCTCACAATCTCTAGTTCTTGTCATCGGAGTTAGTTCTTGCTGGTCTTTTTCCTTGCCCCAAGAGGAGACTTTTTGCAGGGAATGCTCTCAGAAGCACTGGGCTGAGCCATGCTGTTGGGGTCCTGGCCAGGATCTGCTCAGCTGTCTCCCGGACTAGAAACCTCTCCATACAGGAAAGAGAGGTCCTGCTGCCATCTCGTGGAGCTCTTCCCGCCCAGCACGGGGCTCCCGCGGGCTCTGCACAGCCGCTTCTGCCAGCTCCTCCACTGTCACCTCCACAGGCAATGGAGACCAGCCTCCCTCCTTCATTTTTTGGGATGCAGGGGTTGGATTGTTTGGTTCCATCCCATTCATTCCCACATTTCCATCAATGGCAGAACTCCCTGCATATGCCTGCAGCATCCCAAAATGCATGAAAATGGAACCTCAGCCCACACACCTTTAAAACACCTTTATGAAGTGTGGGCATAGGTCAATCTGCACCCAGGAGCCTAATTTCAATTCCTTGTGCTGCAAGATGTTCACCGAGCTCCAAACCCCTGGCTGGCTGGATTGGGCCCCTGGCCTGCCCAGTTCTCCATCACAGCCTCCCCCAGTGCCACAGGGAGCTCTGGCTGCACAGACACCCTTCCAGTCCTGTCAGGAGCAGCTGAGCACCCTCCAGCCTGGCCACACGGGTTACCCTGACCACTAAGTGGCTTTTTGTTTTTCAAAACCATCCTATAGCATCACCACTGCCTGGGGAGAGAAGGCACCACAGAGGAGCAAGCCAGTTCCCTCAAAGGAAACACTTAAATAGATTTTGTTACTGAGGGAAAGTTAATTTTGCTTTACCACAACTGTGGCACACAGCTGTGAGCATCCTCCTCTCCCACCACTGCTGGTGTTCCACCCACATTATTTCACAGTCTGCACATAGGGCCGGACTGCAGGAAAACAAGCTCTGGGCCACATCCCACTCTCTACCCTCGAGGCAAGCCCAGGGATGCTGCATTTTTTCCTCCCAATGAACAGATCTGCAGTGCCCCTCCTCCCCACAGCTCATCTGAGATTTACCTGGATTTGCCAAGATAGCACAACCTTTGGGCTTTCAGTGTTCAGGCTGAAGCTCTTTAGGAACACCGGCTGCGCCAAACCGTGACAGTTTAGCAAGGATTAAGGGTCTGAGGCTGGGTTTTTGTAAATCCAGTAGTGCTTGGATCAGTTCTCAGCCATGTGCTTTCGGGCTCCAAGTTATTAACCTTCTATTTCAAATAAGCCACAGAAATACAGAGGGCAGGAAAGTGGGGGCACACGCAGTACAGGAGGCCAGCATATCACACGGTGCTCACAATCGGAATTAAAACTTGCTGGGACTCAGAAAACAAAACCCACTCAGAAGACTGGTGCTGTAAATCACTGGCTTGCCCTTGATCATCTTGCTCTCAGAGAGCTGTGTAATCAAACCACCTCCAAATTTCAATTCACTTTTGCAGCAGTGGAAATGCCTGTGAGCACATTCCTGTTTGCAAAGCTCAGGACACTCTGACTCCAGAACTCCAGCAGGCAGCACCTGCTCCCTGCCTGCTGCCCTGGGCTGAGCTGGGGAAGTGGCAACACCGTGGTGGGGAGGTCAAAGTGGGAAAGGAAGGTGCAGCTGACATGTGAGCCTCTTTCCAGAGGAAGCCTCACCATCCTGTCAGGCAGGGGCAGAGGGTTTAGCTCCCGATCCTGCCAGTCATGTTCTGCAACAGCCCGAGTCTTTTAAACAGGAGTTCAACACCCACAGCAATAAACAGGAACAGCAGATTCCCAGGAACAACTGTATTAATTCAGAGGCGTATACTATGGAGTGTTTAACTGTTCTGTAAATACTGAACCTGTAGAAACCAGTATGAGGGCAAGTGCTGGTTAAATAGCCTTTATCACCTCTGTTCCCCAAGAATGTTCACAGTGCCACAAACAGGCTGGATGCTGAGAAGCCTCAGCCCAGATCTCTGAAAAGACAAATGAACACATCACAGCTCAGGAGACAATGACAGCACAAACCAAGGGCCTGCTTAAAAAAGCTGAGAGATCTCTGATGGGCTTTCTGGAGATAAGGGACCATGCCTGGATTTTATGGGTCCAAACTCTAGAAACAAGAATTTCTCAATGAAAAGGGGAAGGCTGAAGGCTCTTACCACAGGGTAGCCCTCACACCTCACTTTCACAGTGGGAGCTGGAACTGGGATCACACCCACATAAGACTGAATCAGAGCAACAACAGCTCCTGTGCCTGGAGACAGCTTTTACTTTTAAAAAAACCAAAGACAACCCAGGTCATCAGGCCCTTTTCAGTTAATTCTCACTTATCCCATATACAGCCCAACCCTACCTCAAAAATCATGAACATGAGGGGGTTATTCTGCTGTAAATGAGTGTTGTCACAATAGTCTGCTACAAACAGCTGTGTGGTCACCACTGCCACTCAACCTGTGCTTTCACTTCTGTGAGGTGTTACAGCTCTTGGTTTAAATTTCCAAATTATTTTAGTGCTTCCAAGGACTTCCCCCTCTGTGTTTCAATCCAGAACAGTAAGACTTTTGTAGCTGTGGATCACAGCACCCCAAGGGTGGGCAAGACCAGCAGAGCCACCCGCTTGCAGAACCTTTTGCAAAACTCCTCCTGCTTTTTAAGTGCCTACCTCTCTAGGGCAGCTCCTTGTTCAAGCAGGCCCATGTCACAGCCGTCCAGAGCTTCTTCCTGGCAATTTAAAGTTGGCTAAATCTGTTCACCGTTTTATTAATTAACTTGCTATGCTGTGACAGCATAAATATATCAGCAGGCTCTCCTGTGTCTTTATCCCCGCTTCTCCCCCAAATAAACAATAAAACCTAAACCCAAACATGGATCAAGTACAGTGCAATGAGCTACTTTTTCACTAGGTGGAAAGAATTAATTTCCTATACACATTGCATGGACTGCAAAGACTGATCATCTGAAGAGAACATTATGGACAAAACCATCCTATTTCATGGTCATTTGTAGGCTGGAGGTGATTTAAGAAATACCCAGTATAAAGCATAGTTCCAATAGACAGTTCCATTTTCTTCTGCAATTCCACCTTTCTGTTTCTGGGGTTTGGCACAGGTGTAATCCAAAAGTTTCCCCGAATATCCCAGATGCAAAATATAGGCCGCTCAAAAAGATACAATAACAAATAAGTAGCCCTCCAAGAAAGCAAAACTACTCAGTAGAACACACAAAAGACTGGAAGGAAGAGAAACAAAATACTAAGCACATTCAAAAATGTTAATTTAAACCTCTGGGTTGAAGAACACAAAAGTTATCACAAACATTTGAGCTCCCACCAAGTATCAAAGAGCTTTGACTGTTTTATCTCAGCTATTTAATGGAACCAGATAACAGTCTGGTCATACTGCCCTACACATACCTTTTCCTGGTCTTACACTTGGTTTCAGAGCCTGATCTCCAGCAAGGAGAAAACAACAAGAGCTGGGATGCAATGAGAAAAGCAAAAAGTCCTGCAGACTTGTCTCTGTTTGCTCATTGCAAGATGAAAGAAATGGCAGAGAGAAAAAAAAAACAAGAAGAACAAAGACATGGAAGAGCTGTACTGTAAAATTAGTACAAGCAACAGAACATGCACACTGGACATCAGGGATAAGGAGACAACATGGAAAGCAGAGAACAAGAAGAGACAGGAAGAAACAAAAAATACTCAGTATGAGCTTCTGGTCTGTGACACCTTGGTAAAGCACATCAACATGAACCATGACAGGATTTCACCTTCAGGACTTTAAATTAATCCATATCTACTTTCTGCTCTAACGTGGCTGGTCCAAAGGCCAAGCTGGAGGCTTTCAGACTTACAGAAAGTAGGGGAAAAAAACCAAACCAAACAAGAAGCCTCTACTTTCCTCGCTTCAAAGACACAAAAGCAAAGGGGCTGACATTTTCCATAGGAGCTGAGCAAGCAGAGGCAAACACGGAAGGTCATTACAGCACTAAGGAGCTGAGCCCCCGACACAGTCAGAGAGGAAAGTCGTGCAGAGGTTGCAGTAATAGCTGGGGTACACCCGCATGTGGCTGACGTGAGGCGAATCTGAGAAGTCCACAGCTTTCACAGGAACACCGAGCTGCTGCCGGGCATCGGCCATGAGCTGAACCTCGCTGGCCCTGATGATGAGATCGGCCTGGGAATAGAGGTAGAGCTCGGGCCAGCGCGAGGGCGCTTTCAGCAGGGCATCGTAATGGCTCTCGTGGATGGAGCGGGTCAGGGGGTACAGCAGGATCCGCAGCACCACGGCCGTGCTGGCAAACGTGAACAGCAGGAAATACTTGAGCAGCACGTTCATGGAGGCCAGGACAGTTTCCAGGGCACGAAGGCCTCCTCGCAAGTTTCTTCTGCCAGGGGCGCTATCGAAAATGGTGCCAGCTACTCTGAGGTTCTTAAACAACTTGTGGGTGTGGAGCGCCTCCATGATGTAACGGTACAGCATGGCACCACCATTGCTGAAAACATGGAAAAGAACCGGTCTGTTCTCAATACTGTAGTCAAAGAGCAGCTCCAGGAGTTGCCTGGCTGGGGTCTGCAGGGATCTGATGCCAAAGGTCTCAGAGAAGAATACCATCCTCCATGGAGCCGTGTAACGGATGACCGTGCACCCCTAAGAACAACAGAAAGAGACCCCACAAAGATTTAACCTGTGCTGCAAATTACAGAGAGTAGGCAAGCAGCAGTACAAAGAACATGAAAATTTGGGACAGTTTTCCAACAGGAACCACAGGGCCAGAAGAAAGTCGTTAGTGTCAGCAGCAAGGCACTGACACGAATACAGATTACAGAAATCATTATGAAAAGGCCTCTGCAGTGGCAGAGGCCTGGCTTTGGTCATGTCTGAGATCCTTTCAAATCTTGTGCTAGCTGGCACAACCCCTGGAGACACTGTCACCCATTTTTATAGGTCTTAATCCTCACCCAGAAGACAACCATCTCCTTGATTCACAGTCCTTCAGTATCAGGCATTTGGTATGAGGAGCCTGCTCTGGTATACATCCAGCTCATCACACTGAAGCAAATATAAGGAGAAAGAGGAATTTCCTCCTCTCCTTGGGTGCACTTGTTTGCAGCTGTCTCTGAGACTCACCACCAGCCAACACCAACATGATTTTTTTAGATCTTCCTGAAACACTTCAGCTGTACAAAGAAAGAGCTCTGGCTCAACGACTCGGAACTCCTGAGCAACTGCCTTCAAGCTTAAGTCCTTACATTTAGGTATAGATTTGGAAACAGGATCTTGGAGGAATTTCAAAATAAAGCAGATGGAACTACATTTATAAATACTTTAGGCCTTTTCTATCATCTGAGCTCACTGACATTACACACTGACAAGCTCAAAGCTAAGGCACCAAAACAATCCCCCCAGAGCTCCCTAAACAGTAAATGAGGAAGAAGAGGATACCAAGTTCTCAAATCAAAGCCTCCTCTACCATCTTGCCATGGTTACAGCCACTTCCTCTTAGTGAGCTAAGAAAACCCATCCTTTCCTTTCCCATTTCTATGATCTTTCTGATAGAAAAGTATTTTCCAAGAAGTTGTCATGCTGCCCTGTAACGTGCTCCTCATCCGCTCAGCAGCATCTTAAAGCCACTTAACAACTAATTCTTCATTAGATCAAGCCAATTAATGACTCTTACACTGGATTACACATTAACAATAGACTTGTTAATGTACAAACTTTACCACCTATAGTTGGAACAGATTTGGATAAATACAAGATTCCCTGTATGCTGACCAAGAAAAAAAATCTAATGTTTCACTAGGTCCCCATGCTACAAGCTGGGGTCATTCCAGTAAAATACAGTATTAGAAAGGAAAATATGATAGCTTAGGGAACTGGAAGTAGAACAGATGTCTCTAGTTCAAACACAAGGAATTCCTAGTGTGCAGCTATGACTATGACAGGATGCCTGTTTCACAGACAGGATAAAATTAATTTGGTTTACAACATTTAAATGAATCATTTTCACAGGAAGGAAGAGCCAAAGGCACAAGAGATCCCAATTCTGTCAGTTCCCACCCCAGCCTCACCATATCTGTGCTGTGGCCTAACAGCAAGCAGTAAACACAGAATCTTTCCCTGCATGTTTATCTGCTAGGAAAACTAACACAGTTCACATCATTCCTGAATAGTCCCACAACTTTAAAAGCCTTAAGATACTTCAGTGAGTCACACAGCAGCTGAAAGTTTCTCCAAGGAAGTATTTCTATCTTAGCTGCATACACAAAGGTGACATCAGCAGCTGTTAGATAACACTGCCCAGGCTGTGAGAGACAAGGAGCTTTCAGTGACAGGAGAACTCTCACTCACTCCCCGTGAGTGAGACAGAGAGGCTTCAGAGAGACCTTACCAACATGCAAAAATAAGGTAGTTTCACAGCATGACAGTGTCATGAAAATACAGACAGGCTACTCACCTTCTGGCTGTAGATTGCGCTGTATTTGGCCAGGTATTTGTCCTGGCAGCCGGCCCAGCCTAGGAGGATCACCACAGGCTGGCCGTCGGCAGGCTCTGTCTCTGCACTGCCTTCTGAAACAAATCACAATGTTACAGCAACTGCCCTCCAGTCTACCCGAGTCAGAACTTACAGCAGCCTGTCCGGTTAGTTAGTTTAGTTGGTTAGTAAAGTTTAAAGGCAATGGTGAAGCAAGTATAAGCTTGACTTCTCGGTCAGTTACGAGTATTGCCTCACCCCGGTTTCACTACGTGGGCGTGCCCTGCAGCACAGCACAGCTTCAGCCCCTGCAGTTCTCACCGCTCTCCAGCGACGCAAAGCCAGCACCGAACTGATCCCTACGGGGGGCGAACCGCACTTCCCAGCGAGATAGCTGCTGCCACTTCCAAGGGGAAAAGGGAAGCGTCCTGCCCTGTCCTCCAGGGACTGCCAGACACCTGCTAGAGCACCAGTGCCCCACAGCTCCTCCTCCCATACCCCAGCCCGCTCCTCCCTTCTCCGCCCGCAGAGACCCCCCAGTCCCAGCTGTCACTGGCGTGCCCGGTCCCGCTCGCCTCCGCACCGAGGGCCTGTCCTGGCTTCAGCTCCACCACGGCCTCCTTTAGCCCGCGGGTGCCCATGGCCGCGCTTCGCGCACCGGCCGCCGCTTCCGCCCCCCCGGAAGCTCCGCCCACCGCCCTCCCCGAAGCCAATGGGAAAGGAAAGTGCCCACCCCGTCTCATCATCCGCCCCGCCCCCTACCCGCCTCCCACTTCCTTAGCAACGCGCCCTTAGCATCGGCCCAGCGCCCCGCCCGCTGATGACCTATTGGGCAGGGGGAGACGGTCGGGCAGCGATTGGTTCAGCCGCGTGTCAGTCATTCTGCGGGGTAACCGCCCCCTCGGGGCAGGGGCGCGGGAGCGGGGGCTGAGGCGGGCGGGGGCCGCGGGGCCGGGATGAGGGGAATTTTAGGGCCTGGAGTGAGGATTGCAGTCAGGGGGGCCTGGGGATACGGCGGGCATGAGGATTGAGAGGGGTTGTTGGTCCTGATCTGGGTGTTTGGGTCAGGAGGGGCTGGGCACGCGTGTCACGGAGTGTGTCAGGGACTGTAGGGCCTGGAGTGGGATTTGGGTGTGAGGGAGCACAGGGCCTGTGGTTGGGCTGGATCGGGCCTGTGGGATGATGGTCTGGGGCAGGGAATGCTGAGGTTGCAGTGGATCAGACGGGGCAGGGGCTGGGATGGATGCAGGGGGCAGTGCAGGGCCTGGCAGGGGGTGGGGCAGTGCAGGGTTGGGTTTGGGGCTGTGGCTGCCTTAGCAGTGGGGCTGGGGGACAGGACATGCAGGAGAGAGAGGTTGAGGAGCTGAGTACGTTGAGGTGCACTGTGCACGGGAGGACTTGAGGTGTGCCAGGAAAGGGTGAAACCTGCCAGGGAAACAAACCCTAAGTTCTGCCTGAGGCTGGGCACAACCTTGATGTTGCAAGATGCAAAGATAACACCAAATCACTGCCACTCTGTCATTCCACGAGTCCAAGGCTATCATTCCCTGGCACCTCACACTCGCTCTGAGGCTGAAGCAGCACCAGTCTGCCTTTTGATCTCAACCTGATGATTAAGCAGTACTCTGGATTTAAATAACTGCTGAATTGCCAGAGCCAGTTCCTAAATCACTGAGGTTTTTTTCTTGGCAGGAATAAAGCCCTGCCCTGACCCAGCCTTGTTTTGATTATTAGGTCCAGTGGACTGGGTGGCAGCCCAGCACTTTTCACGGCAGAGTTTGAAGCCAACGACCAGGAGTTACATGCTGATGCTAGCTAGCACTGACAAACGATTCAGGCAAGTAATTTAACTTCCCTGTGTCTGTATGTTCCCATATGTGAAATGGTCATAATAAAAACATTAATGTACATTTTCAGGGTACTTTGAAATGTTGGCTTAAAGACTCCTATGTCAGCAAATGCTGTTGTTACAGCAGCCAGAGACAGGCACCATTGTATCCTCTGAAGCCATGTCATCACTGTATCAATTTTTTTTTTTTTTCCATTGGTTCATAGGCAAGCCCTTTGTATCACTAAAATCCTCACATCCAGAGGCTGGTGCTGGTATTTTTGAGTAGTGGCAGGGGGGTTTACTGCAGCTTTGTAATAAAAATGGGAGAGCATTACACCACCAGCATCTTAAACATAAATATGGAAACGTTAATTTAGAATCAATTTTGGGATGTTTCAGACTGTAAAGTTCTTTTAACTAGATCTCTGTTGAGGACAGAGGAGCACTTTATGGGACTGTAAATTTCATGCAAACAGTCTCTGTGAAATACAGATTCCCCCCACACACGAGCTGTTCTCTCAATATCAATCATATGCCTTGTAAGTAATGTTTCACAAATATTCTGTAAATCACAGGAAAATGCTTGCAATAATGTGAAATATGACTTTCACTTGACTGTTTCAGCAGAGGCCCCTAACAGGCCATTCTCCTGTCAGCACTAACATTTGTTATGGCTAATAACATTTTCAATCACAACTATTTTGGGAAAATGGATTTATTTTAAACCTACTTCCCTGCAAAGGAGGTTCTGAAAACGCCCTGCCAAGGACACAGATGCCTTACAGATCACAGACCGTTAATTCCCAAATGAAATTTCATCTCATCTTAATTCTCAAGCACTGTTTCTTAGCCAGCTTTTTGAAGACTTTACTTGTTTGTTTTTAGGCACTGAGATACGTGCTTACATCTTAGTCGCTTTCAGTCTGGTTCAGTTGATAGGAGTAGAAAGTTAATTTTGAGTAGCTATCTTGGGGATACTTTGGAACTGATTTGAATTTTGCTCCAGATACCAGGAGAAAAGGCTTAAGAACTTTGTAGGTAGGAAATTGGTAATCTTGATTATTTGTATTACATTGAAAAGATTTCTTATTCTGAAACACGACTATTTATGTAATTTTAACTCTTTTTCTCCATAAACCTCACTTAAATAAAACCTAAAATGGTGCTTCTGTTAGGTAAGAAGTCCAAGAAGTTTATTAGACAAGGTGTGAATTCATTTCTTATCCTTAGGCATGTTGATACAGCTTGGTATAGGAGAGGACACCTGTGTTAATGCCACTGTTTGTGACTTTATCCCTCTTTCTGGGCACAGATCCTGGTGTTTAACTGCGAGGCTCCTTGAGACTGGTCAGTGTCCTCCAGCCAAAAGCATGCACTGCTGTGGGATTGCCACACAAATGGAGAGCTTTGTCCCTGACATTCCATCTCCCTTACTAAGTGCACCTTCACTTTTGTCAAGCTGCACTAGGGGATATCATACTGAGCCAAAAGTGTGCCAAATACACTTGGAAAAATGTAGATTTCTTTATTTAATACCTGTGTGAAGAAATAGAAGGAATTGCAGACAAAGGATGTTTCTGGAGCTTCTGTCTTCTTGCTCATAGCTCTTATCATTTAGCTTTTCTTAGATTGTTTAAAAACATGCCAGGAAAATTAGATAAGGAAAAAACAGAGCAAGTGTCTGTCATGCTAAAGGGTGCCAAAGCACTTTCTCACTGCCAAGACCCAGCACATGTTCCTGAGATGGATGTGGGCCCAGTCCAAATGGCTGTTGTTCCAGCACGTGAGTGAGGGCTGTGCTGCTGTGTTAACAGGCATTTATAGCCCCCTTGACCCTGTCACCCCCCATAAATCCATACCAATTTCTGCTCTCATTTCACTCTATTTATTCCCTGGCAGGTCAGATATGAGATGCAGTGTTCATATCATGAGGCTAGTGAGAAACAGGGCTTGGGTAATGGGTAACATCAAAATGACTTTATTAGCAGAGCAAAGAAGAGAGCTCCTGTGGTGAAAGCACCTGCCCAGGAAAATAATCTCAAGTCTGTCACAGATTCATTGTGCAGCTTCAGACATACCAGGAACTCTCCTTTTGATGGTTTTCCTATCTATGAATTAAGAGAAAATTATTTTAATATAATAATTAAAGATTAAATAGTTACTAAGTGCTTTAATATTATTTATCAGAGATTTTAAATGTGATTTTAGTGGTAATTCATTAGTACAGTCTTTCTTCATAGACCTTTTTAAACTTCTTTCTCATTTTTCTCTAGGCAAAAGAGATCAAGCCATTAGCCATCACGGTTTTACTGCAGGAATGGGATAGTGCCCACAAAGTTGCTCAAAGTTGCATCCTGAACAGCTTATTAAAAGCAAGGCAGAACCAGAGATGGAGCTGGAGTTCCCAGGGAGACAGCTGGTTTCTCGCTCACCTAACAGTGTGGCTCAGGATGATGCATCTATTTCCTTGGACAGCTGGAGGGGTTGTGTGGTACTGAGATGGAAAGAATGGACAAGTTCTCTACAGAAAATTTGTTTAACGAATAAGCTTTTGTACAGAGACATCCACATCCAGCCACATTCTGCAGGTTTAAAAAACAATCTGGCTATCAAAAGATGGAACGGAAGGGAAAGCCATGTAACCCATCTTTCAAGAACCTAGAATTAGTGTTTTTCTCACATTTGGATGAGTGTGCTGTCTCTGCCTGACTGTAAAAGAATGGTCCATGCTCTTCTGCAGAGACAGTATCCAGTTCAGACCTCTACCCACTGCAGTGAGATGGGACGTAATGGCTCCCAGGAGACAGCATGCTGGCAGAGGAAGATGGGCTCCAAGGCAAGTGACGTTTCTGGCCTTGTTCCCCGTATTCTTGCAGGCTTGTTGCCACAGATACCTTACCGAATTTCTGGAGATCAGAGGTGTCTTGATTCCTCTGGAAATACTAGGGCTGAACCACCTGAAAGAAGAGGACAAAAGAGTGTGTAAAGTTGCTGTTGTGCACTGGAGACACTGGCAGGGAGTATAAGGAGCTCATTTGTGAAAGCTGTGGTACGCAGCATGTCCATTTGTGCTTTGTCCTGATTCAAGCAAGGATGTTCTCCCTGACCTCTGGCCCCTGGGGCTGCTTGCTGCACTGAGCCATTGCCTTCCCTCTGCCTGCTGATGGCAGATCCAGCAGTGCTGCTCTGGTTGGAAGGAGTTCAGAGTCTCAGCTATTGTTGAGACTCTGTTGCATTTCATCCCCTCTCATTTCTTAACAAGCTCACTTTCTTCACAGTCATTTTGGTGTGATATTGCTGCCTTGCTGGTTGCAATTCCTCCTGTTAAAACCACAAAACAGTTTCCATCCTTACCTGCAGCATTCACCTACTGCAAACTTTCCCAGAGTTCCTCTCTGGGGTAGGAGAGTTTTGTAGTTTGTATCTTTTAAAAGCATTACAAATTTCCCCCCCCCCCCTTTTTTCCTCCTGGGTAGTGCAAGTCAAACCCAGTTAGTTCTGTAGTTCAGAGGACATTCTTAGAGGCCATGGGGTGATATATGCCATCTTAGTTTCCTCCAAGAGAGACAAAGCAGCAGGCTCAGTAGCGGGATCTGTAGCAACTCTGTTGGTATGCCACTGTCAAATTCTGTTTCTGTAAAGGGCCTTCCTTGGCTACTTACTCCATTTTGCTAACTGGTTGAGAATTTTGCTAACTGATTTTCTAGCTGTGACTCCTGATAAAGAAATTTCGTCCTGATTGAGCCACACTTCCAGTCGGATGCAGTACTGGGTTCTCTGAGTGACAGTGAAACAGCTGAGATGGCTGAT